GTAGTGATGGTCCAGAGGGTGTAGCTTCCAATCCAGTTGAGTTCCAGTGACGCCTCCAGTGGTGACCAAGGGTGAAATTGACCATAGAATCCAGTTCTTGAGCCATAATGGTTGATTTGTGAGTGTATATATGAGAAAAAAGGTGTAATTGTGTAATAAAAGAAAAAAACTGTAAAATTTTTAAATGGCCAGATGGCTACCCTTAAGGTATACCACACCGTCCGATGATTATCGATCGTAGAGTTTGAACTTGAGGAGATGGAACCGGGCTATTTCTCGGTCGGTTGAGGGACAACTGAGGCTCGAGGCAGACATTCTAGATATCAAGCGTTGAACTCAAACCCTAAGCGATTGATGCGCTAGATCCGCAGTCTCATGGCACGCGCAGAATAAGTTGAAAACTCAACAGCCCTCCTTGGTTGTTGGCGAAAGAACTTTTAAGCATTTATGTTGAAGCTTCTTCAGGGAGGAATGAGGAGCAGCCTTGGTCAACGAGTCGGCAATCATGTCATGGGATGGAACAAGTTTGATGTCGATTTCTTTTGAGTTAAATTTTTCCCTCAGACTCTTGATCTTGATGTCGAGGTGTTTGGTCTTCGAGTTAGATCCGAAGTTCTTCAGTTTTTCTAGTAACCCCTTGTTGTCGATGTGAAATAAGGTGGGGGATAGCTTGACTCGCCAAAGTTCTTCAATGAGAAAGGATAGCCATTGGTTTTCCTGTTCTCCATCAGAGAGAGCATTCATTTCGGATTCGGTTGAGGACATGGTGATGTTTTTTTGTTTCTTGCTATTCCAGAGAATCGGGCAAGACTTCCAAAAAGCAAGGGTACCACTGCGAGAAATCCTTGATTCTTGATCCTCTGCCCAGGTAGCATCAGTAAAGAAATTTATTCGATCAATGAGAGAATTGGGATCAGGTTTTAGGAGCAGTCCAAAATCGGCAGTTCCACTCAGATATTTCCAACAGTGCAAAACCTCCTTCCAGTGACTTAATCCGGGTCGTTGGTTGAACTTTGAAAGTATTGAGACCGCCGAAGCCAGATCGGGTCTGGTTCTGCACGCTAGATAATTCAGCATGCCGGTGTATGAGCGATAGTTGATGTTCAATTTCAGGAATTCGGTGTGATCCTCCTCAGTTGCGGTGTGCAGTTGAATGGCCGGTGTGAGAGGAGTTTTCACCGGTTTGCAGTTTTGCAGACTGAGTAGTTCCAGCCCCTTTTTGATGAGTGCTGTCTGTGACAGCTCGATGGAGTCTGATTGAATATTGAGATTCATACCAAGTAGGGTATCCGGCACATGGGCTGACGAATTGGGAAAGCGCGATAGGAAGAGATCCTCGAAGGTTTCAACTTGACCGACCACAATAAGATCATCCACATGAAAGAAAATGAAGGAATCTTTTTCTTTGTGAATGAAGAGACACGCATCCGACACCGAGGGATTATAGTCAATTTCTTGAAACCAGGCGGTTAAGGTGTCGTACCAGTTCTTGGGGGCTTGTTTGAGTCCGTAGAGAGATTTGATTAATTTTAGATATGGAGCTTTTCAATGAGAACCTTCTGGAGTTTTAATGTAAATCTCCTCTTCTAGTGGAGCGAAGAGGAAAGCACTCTTTACGTCAAACTGTTTGATTGGAAATTTGAGGTCAACAGCTAGCACCAACAAGGTGAGAAGCGAAGGAAATTTTCCAGTGGGGGCAAACGTTTCAAAAAAATCCTCGCCGTAGGTTTGCAGGAACCCTTGGATACACAGTCGAGCCTTCTTCTTTTCCAGAGATGAGGTTGTGGCCGGTTTTGTCTTAAACACCCAAGTAGTGTCCAGATTTTTATGAGGTTTTGTCCATTGATCAAGCCAAGCCTCGTGATCTTCAATGTTGTTTAGCTCAGAATCGATAGCGTTCTTCCATCCTTCAGATTCAGGTCCTGTGATTGCTCTCTTGAAGGACTTTGGATCATCCGAGAAGCATGATTGTTCGGAGAAATGTGAATATTTAACTGGTTTTACTTGAAGAGTTCAATCCCTTAGAATTCGACCGACAGGCGCATCAACAGGTGGAATCAAGGCCTCAGCTATGTCTATATCATCTCCAGACGAGTCAGAGTCCAGAGACTTGAAGTTGTCGCTGAGTTCGTCAGAGTCTTCTTCTTCTGCCTTGATGTTGATTTCCTTGTCCTCCTCACCCTTCTCTTCTCTCATTTGATGTTCAGGCTTCTCCCCCTTTTCAATCTGTTGTTCTTCGATCAGATCGCTTAAGTCAACCGGAGCCGAAATAGAGGTGTCAAAGTCAAGAAATTGTACATTCTTGGTGTCAATAATTTTTCCATCCGTGAGCTGCACTTTGTAGGATTTGAGGTCGACGTTGAAACCAAGGAGTTTCCCAAAGTCACCCCTGGGTTCGAGTTTCGATTTCACCTGATTTGACACCACGACCAGCGGATTCCCTAAGTGTTTGAAGAAATCCAGAGGAATTGACTTCATTTAGAAGAGTTCGTATGGAGATTTCTTGCTCCGATGAGTCGGAATTTGATTCAGAGTTAATGTACTAGTACTTAGAACTTCATTCCAAAGTTTTGGGCTGAGTCCTGAATCCAGTAGGATGGTGCGAAGCGATTCCAAAATTGTCCGATTGAACCTCTCTGCCAATCCATTTTGCTGGGGAGTGTACGCATCTGAATAACGCTGTTGGATGATATGATCCATGCAGTATTGCTGCAACGCTGAGTTCACAAATTCTGTCCCTCGATCTGAGTGTAGTACTGAGGGATAATAGCCAAGTCGCTTTGCTTCGACATCAATAGCATGAGTAAGAGTCTTGAACGTATCCGCCTTGGTAATCATGGGAAGAGCGGCGACAAATCGGGTGTTTGCGTCCACAATGGTGAGAATGTATTTATGCTTCTTATGTGACATAAGAGCTATTGGTCCAATCAGGTCGAGATGGAGTTCCTCCAATGGCTTAGATGCTGAGGATGATCGGTGTTTGAATGATGCCTTAGTGACTTTCACTACAGCGCATGTTTTGCACACCTCTGGAGCCTTCACCGGTATTCCTAACTTCTGTCTTATTCGGCGATAGCTGACATGTCCTAAGGACTTGTGAAGAAGTTCGGCTGAGCTTAAGTGTGAGTGCTGAATAGGAGGCAGGAGCTCAAGGACAGGCAAATTATGCTGATAACGACCTTCGAGAAAGATCTCATCATTCTTGATGATAGTGAAATGATTGACCGAAAAATTGATAGTGCATTTCTCTAGTATCAGATGACGAAGAGAGAGAACGTTGACAGTGATTCTAGGTACAAGCAGAACATTGTGGAGAGTAATAGGTCTTCCTTTAAAGGTAAGATCGACCGTTCCTTTTCCTTCAATCTTGAGGGTACTCATACCGCAACTTGTGTTAATCATCCCGCTTTCGTTTTCGTCTAGATGAGTGAAGAGATTTCGATCAGATATCATGTGCGATGTTGATCCCGAGTCAAGGATAAATACTGTAGGGTGATTGAGTGAGAAGGTTGAAAAAGAGCTGACTTGAGATTCTTCTTTCCTCTTCAGGTAAGCCTCTCGTTTTTCCGGATAGACCTTCCAGCACTCAGACTTGGGGTGAGATTTGGCGTAAGGGTTGTGCATTCCAGGGATGCATCTTGGGTCCTCTTTAGTGAACATGGTAGCGGCAATCGGCTCGGTTTTGCTAGCCAACAAAACCTTGAGCTCATTCAGGTGAATTTCAAGATGATCCAGTAAAGCGTCGGGCTTGATGTCCTCGCCGTTTCGAGAATGAGTGATAGTCTGCTTGATATTATCCAGACTCGAGGGTAATCGTCTGAGCAAGTCGTAGGTGACGATGTCTTCAGGGAGCGTGATTCCAACGTCCTCCATCTTGACGATGGAACTTCTCACTTCGGTGATGAACTTCTCGATGTTACTGGAATCGAAGGTGATGTTTGCGAATGAGTTGTACACCCGAGCTCGATTGGACGGTTCTGAGGATATGAAGCGCTTAATGATGGCTTTCCAGAGAAGTTGAGCGTTGACTTCATTGGTTGCGTTCACAACATTTTTGTGTGTAGCGGGAGAGATTTTCGCGATGATAATGGCGCAGAGTATAGTGTTATCGTCGTCTTTGAGATCGGGTTCTCCTTTGATCATTTTTTCCTTCAGACCTCCGAGCTTGAAGAGAGCGGTGATCCTCGTTCTCCAACTAGAGAAATTTTCCTCTGTCAAAGTCGGTATAGCCTCTATGGTCATTTTTAAGATGGTTGGATTTACAGCATCCATCTTGTCTCAATCAGCTTCTGGTTTCAATTGTCGTTAAAGGTTGATAGGATTTCCTGTTTCGCCTTTCGACTGTTAATCGTGAAGAAATTTGACTTTATTTCTAAGAAAACTGAAACCAGAACTGAAGACAAACAATGATGGAAATCAGAATGACATAATGAAGAACCAATAGTAAGAGAAAAATATGAAGAAGAGAGTGCACCGCTGAAGAGAATATAAAGAAGAACAGAGGACTATATTGATAGGAGGAATAGGAGGAGTTGACGATGACGACTAAAAGAACAAAGAACAAAAAAAATGAAAGATAGAAAATAGAGATGTTAGTTCTTTCGACAACAAGCACAAGAGAAAAGAAGAAAGAAAGAAAAAAATGATAAAGAAGAACAAACAGCGCAAGAGTAGTATTCGAGTTCAATACTAAGAGTTAGGAATGGAAGGATGAAATAGCTCAATCTGAAATAACAAAAAAAAAAGAAGAAAAGAATAGAAGAAGTCAGAGTTCAGGTCGGATCGGAGAAGGAGACATCGTGCGGTGATGTACGTTACTAGAATGATTATTCTGGTAATGAGCTTGAAGGTGTTGATGCCGTCCGATGATTATCGATCGTAGAGTTTGAACTTGAGGAGATGGAACCGGGCTATTTCTCGGTCGGTTGAGGGACAACTGAGGCTCGAGGCAGACATTCTAGATATCAAGCGTTGAACTCAAACCCTAAGCGATTGATGCGCTAGATCCGCAGTCTCATGGCACGCGCAGAATAAGTTGAAAACTCAACAGTTTGTGGTGTTCCACGGAGCTCGATGGGTATGTTTGGATCATCGGATGGAATGACAGTGTCTTGTGACAAGCCTTGCTTTCCTCCTGAGGACAAGTTCATGTTCTGGGCTTGAAGGGCCGATGGTGAATATGTGCCATGGGCAGACGAGCAATTGAACACAAACACTGCCTGATATCCCGGATGAAGAGCCTCGAAGATTGGCAATGCCTTTTTGGTGACTTGATCACACAGCTGATTCATGTCCCACCAGGCATCACCCTTTGATCCAGGGTATATAACAGTAGCAGCATCCCAACTTGTTGGCTTGACTTGGGTTGACTGGGCTTGTGTGATGGTATGAAACTGAGTTTCTGATAACTCCAAGCGTCCCGTAGTCTCTAGAATAAAGTCAGAGATGTGGATAAGCCGTCCTAAGTTCTTTGAGCGGGAGTCTTGACACCCTGGTAAAAGCCATGTTGATTTAGGTCTCTCCCTTGCATGGACAGTCGATTCATCATGGTATATAAAAACAGTTTGCCTGCGGTCTTCAAGAAGGCTTGGGTCGATCAGCATAGGAACTTCAAGATTGTCACCACCGTATGTTTGCAAGTGTTTTTGAAGTTCAGAAACATCCTTGAGGTACTTGACTTGAGATGCAACCACGTCAGGTCTTTCATGACCATCAAAGTAGATACACTTAGAGTAGGTCTGCGGCCAAAATCCAAGCTTCAACATCCAGCTAGTGGCAGTTACTTCCGATATGGATTGATCAATACCAAGCTTTGGTAAAATCTCATTGTTGACTTGAAGACAAAATGCACGAGGAGAGACCTACACAAGCAAGTAAAAAAGATGTCAGCTGAAGCTCAAATCCTCAAGTCGGATGAACATCTCACCTCGCTGTCTTTCTGTTGTGAGGACCACTGGAAAGCTGAGGAGTAGATGTCCTTGCAGTCTAGAAGCAAAGAATGACTTGCTCCCTTCCCAGGTTGTGGGAAGCGGAGCTCTTTGTGTAGCAAGACATGTCGGGCTTGCTTGTGTATTCTTTTTGCTCGACTGATTCCACTCAAAGTGTTGCCTTGTTTTTCTGGAGGAAGTCGCAGGTTTGAAGCTTGAGCTGTTAAAATAGAGGCTTGCATGTTTGGAGCTGGATGGTTTTCCAAGACCAATTTTAGGCGACAATTGTTGAACTCTTGAAGCTCTTCCAGCTGAATGGTGCGGAACACAAATTTTGGATCCTTCTTACATTTCTGTTTATAAAAGTCATATAGATATTTTATTGTATGATTAAGAGCTTTACATTCCTTGTCAAGTTGATTCCGGTTTGAGGCTGGAGCAGGTTTGGTTGGCTTGTTCAGGTATTGATTGACGTTCTGAGAAATTTGCTGTTCCCTTTGTAACAAATTGTGAGGGCTTGGTTGAAGGGTGATGTTTAAGTTGGAAATCTCCTCATCTCGCCATCTGGATCCACAAGTTCTTCAATTTTGCCATCTGATTCGACGAGTTCTTCAATCTTATCGCTATTGTGTTTGTCCAGAGTCTTCTTTCCAGCAGCCAAGAAGTTTGACATTGTTTGATTATTTAATCCTTCTCCCTTCTCCTTAGTTTTGCGGTGGTTGAATCGGCTGCTTTTAGAAATTGGGCGGCTGACAAGCTTTCCTGATTTGTTCAGAGGGTTGATAACTGGCAATTGATAGCCTTTGAGGATCTCACCACCAGGTGTCTTTCTTCGGTGTCCAGAAGTTTCAGTTTCTTCTTTTGGTGCTGCTATTGGCCATAGGCTTTGGCACATGATAACCTCATCTTCATCTGCATCTACGTTCGTATCATTGTCTTGGAGAAATTGTACAAGCTGATTCGTCTGATCATTGAATATTATTTCTTCATCTTGGTATTCCAATATTTCTTCGTTCTCCTTTTCCTTCTCAGTCTTTTCCGATTCCCTTCGCTTCTTCTGAGATCTTACACGTCGAGATTGAGGTGCCATGGAAGTATGAATTAACAGAAAATGGATGTAAATACACCACGGGGCCAGTTTTTTGAAACTGGCCCCATCTGCTGGACGCTTTCCTGAAGAGAGCGTCCAACGGATGCAATCAGAGCATCCGAGGGACTCTCTGGCGAGCCAGCATCACTTGGATGCTTGCAAAAGCATCCAAGTGACGCTGGCCAAATATGAAGCGTCCAATGGACGCTAGGATTTATTGTCCATCGGACACTCTCCAACCAAGAGGGTCCGATGGGTGGTAGTTTTTAGTGTGTCCATTGGACACTTTGATTTAACATTTCCAATTGCCGCTGGTGGTCAATGGTTGAAAAAAGATCCAAAAGTTCGGTCAATGGTAGAAAAAAGCTCCAAAAAAGCGGTCGATCGTCGAAAAAACACTCCAAAAGTGCGGTTGATCGTCGAAAAACACTCCAAAAGTGCAAGTGATGTGATTGTCAAAAAAATCTTTAAAAATGCACTTGATCATGAAAAAAGGCTGTGAAGTGGCTTACTCCGAAGTGCAAATTTGGTCTATCAACAACAATTTGGGTAGCTTGCAAGAATGATTCTGTGTAGTGTAGTCAGTAAGGACAAGCTTTGTGGATGTGTAGTGGCACCTCCATGAGGTCATGGGTTCAAATCTGGGTGTGCTCATTTTTTAATTTTCTTTGCAGAAAATAAAAGCATCCAGTGGACGGCTTGAAAAATATCCAGTGGACAGTTTTCCAGAAAACGTCCGCAAACTGTCAGGCAGAGTAGCGTCCAATGGACAACTCTCTGCCCTGCAAGTTCTGGACAGCTCAGATGATGTCCAGAAGAGTGTCCATGGGACATCAGAATGGTCCCGTGGTGTAGGTGGAGTCACTCGGATGGTTGATCTTTGAGTGACCTCAACCTCACAACAAGCTGCGGGGTGGCCAGTGTGGACACTCCAATTAAGGATTATGCTATTTTTCAGTGGGTCAAAATCCGGGTTTTTTTTGGGGGGGCCAACATTTGGAACCTCCCCCAGACCAGTAGTTGAGAGGTGCCTTTGGGCACTGTAGAGACATTATTACATATGTCATTAATTTTTAAAGGGACTTGGTCAAACAACTCCCAGAAATTGGAGAGCCGACTCCCAAACCCGTCAGTGGGTCCCGGCCACTTTTTTTTGATCACCAACCCCTCAAAACCACTTGGTTTTGGGGCATTGACACCCAACCCCTTGGGAGTTTTTTTTTTTTTTTTAAATTATTTGGGGGCCAACTCCCAAACTCACCGACAGGTTTGGGGAATTGACTCCCAAATTTTGGGGAAAGCCAGGTTTGGGAGTCAACTCTCCAATTTCTGGGAGTTGGTTGACCAATTCCCTTTTTAAATAAGTGGAATCACTAATATAAAAATGATGTTATTACTCAGTACATTAAGTTTTACTGTCCATAAAAGAAAAACATAAAAATAAACCAAAAACATTTATAAATAAATATTTTTAACAAGAATCTACAAATAACTTCTGAACCTTAAGTAGAACTTAGAATATTATTGCAGATTCTGAATTCAAATGGAAAATAACCTAGGATACCTCACCAAAGGTACCCCTTAATTATCACTCCTTCAGGTACTTCTGTGTACTCTGAGTGACATGATCTGTTCATTTTGCTCAAAACCCTCCCAGTTACATCATACTACATGTTGTGGCAGGTCTACATATGTAATTAAGGTTCATGCAGTTTAGGAAAAATCTACAAATAAGGTTGAGATCATTGAAACCTTAACTACATAGTGACAACAACTGTAACTGGCTTGGTAAAAGCCATCTGTGGCCCTTTTTGGCCCAATTTGGCTAACTACGCCTTGTTAGAGCATCTTTACCGGTTGAGCTAAAAGCCAGCGGTTTTAACTCGCGGCTATTGCTAAGCTACTATAGCGAAGCCTATTCAGCCACACCGGTGTGGCATGAGGTTAAATGATGTGGTGTGGTTTGAAGTAGGGGTGTGTGATTGTGTGCGGGAGGGCACCAAAATGAAGCACACTCACCGGTTTTTGCTTTTAGCTTGCTTGCGAGCTAACCGTTGCTAGATCTAGCAACGGTTAGCTCGAATCGGAGCCGCGAGCTAGTTTCACTTGACTTTAGCTCAGCCCGGTGTGGTTGAATTTCGCGGCTAAAGTCCTTAGCTCGCGCGGATTTAGCCACCGATACGGATGCTCTTAGGACCAGCCCACTGGTCATTAAAGGGTTTCAGTGACCCAAACATGGCTGCAGGTTTGTCACAGCACCCCTCAGTGTGTGTTACAAGCCTCACTTCAGCCCTCTGACACCTGTAACCAAGGACTACAGGTGCCTAGGCAGTGCTACAGGTTACCAATGCCTAGTAGGAGGCTTGCAACAGCAAGACAGAGTTCTGAGTTGGGCTCCAAGGGCCCAGAATGAGTATATAAGGAGCCCTTCTTGCCTCCAACCCTGATTCACAATCTTCATGATAACTTACCAGCAATAACCACCTCCAACAACCAGTTTTCACCTGGTTTTGGCCCAGTTCCTTGTTATTTTTCTTTTCTTAGATATCAAAACCTCCCCATTCCATTGCACACATTATATTCTTAGTTTGCACCTTGTGTAGCTAGAAGAGACAAGCTCTTGGCATCACATAGGCCCACACATACCGTTCTTCAGCCGCATACGATAATAACAGATAATAACATGAACAACGCGCCATTATGGATAATCGAAGCATTGGGTGAATTGCATCTGACCCATTTCTGACCAAAACGAAGAAAACAAGGACTGACAATAAAATGCTTTGATTCATCACAGTTTCGCAGGGGTTTGAAAGCTTCCCCGGAACATGCAGGAGGAAAATCTCAGCCATCGATGGAGCCGACTATCCCGGGATGAGAAGAGCGCCAATCCAACAAATAAAGGCACGAAAAGAGCACCTGAGCGAGATCCGAAAAGGCTTTCTCCCCACATTGCGACAGCTTCTGGCTGATCTCATCGTAGCCCAAGATCTGGTGGATCCCCAGAAAGAGCCAAAATATCCAGACGTTCGAGAGATCAACAGGATCACTCGTCGAATCTGCGACATGTTGAAAGAAATCCGCTATGCCGCCAGTACCATCGCCCTCACAGAACCGCAAGCACCCCAAGACGAGGACCATGAGTACGGGATTCTGAAAAGATATAGGACTAAAGCTCTTGTCGAAAAACTCCGCTATATGATACGATACCCCCTGCGTGAATCGTTGGGCTATCATGGGGATTTCTTCGAACAGTGGAAAAACTCAAAGGAAAGCGTTGTAAACCGAAGATTCGATTATCCAGGCTTGCTCATAGCCACCGCGACTGCGTTCCACTTCATCGATGAAATCATTGAATGGCTCAAAAAATCCGATTTTGGCGTGCTTCAAGAAGCTTGGAAAGCTGCTTTAGATGGTTATGAAGACCGTATGACGGCCTTGCTGAACCGACTCGATCCGACGATCCGGTCAGAGCACGAGCGTGGTCCAGCCAGTGATCATTCAGAAACCCGACTTTCACAATCTGAGGCCAACATTAATCTCGTGGGTCACGAGGAAGACCAGTTTGGAAATGTCGTCGCATCAGATACCTCGCCAGTCCTCTCTCGTCCACGAGCACGTGTCCTGAAGCTTCTGCTGTCTGTATTACCGCTCGGTAAACTAGCCAGAATACTTTTCAACAAGCTCTTGATTACTCCAATCAGCCGACCAGTATTCACACTCGATAGCCAAATGAGTTCCGCCCAAATTGACTACCTGACCAACCAAACTCGCTCACTATTTTTTAGCATCTGGAATCTCGCCGATATGTTAGCTACATTATACGATCTGGATAGCCTCGAAAATCTTGAAGCTGCTCAGCATGACTTGGATAAAATTCTCGGCTATTTTGACTCTTCCATAAGACTCTTAAGTCTTCATCTGGTACCTTCTCATCCCAACCTGCAACCTGGTCCCCCAGCTTCTGAGAACGTCTTCAAACATCGTTTTTCCTTATTAATTGATCAATTCCATTTGGCCGCTCAAAACTTGACTAACGATTTGAAAAGATTCACTGATTTAGATAGAAATTGATTGGATGGAATTTTATGAGCTTCAATGCATGTCAAGCTTATATCACCCAACTACTCATAAAGAATGAAGATCTGGAATTGTGTTGTCCTTTCTCTGCTGCAATCTACTGTTTCCATGAATTAAGTGCAGATGTAAGCCCCTCCTTGCTTGGACAGAACACGACAAAGACTCCAGAGCTGTTGATTTTAGTGGTAAATGGTGAGAAAGGTGACCACCTCCCTGTTAATTGTGCTCAGAGTGATAACAAGACCGGAGACCAAAGTAAACATTGGATCTCCGTAAAAATGCCCCTGATGGATGTATCCTTCAAATTTCCACAGAAATGAAGCGCAAGGAGATACATGTGCTCTTTCTGATAAGTCGTGAACTGGCAAGCTTTGATGTGGTGCAACGCAGTGTGATTCGAGGATATATGCAATCTTCATCGTCACACCTAGCAGCTGGAGATCCTTGATAGTCCGGACAGGGTCGGACGCTTAAAATATGCGAGTCGAGTGTCAAATGATGTTCCTCAAGACTGCGTAGGAGCGAGATATCCATGGAAGTTGTCGGTGAACGATTTGAGCAGACACACAGACATCGACAAAATCCTTCACGAGTCTTCGAATCCCATTTCAAAAAAAAAGTGCCCATTGTAGCAGGATGTCGATCCGGTCTAGTAGTTGCACAACAACCACCGATCCGAATACCCCGATTGCTTCCCAAGCCGAGTCTCCATCATCTCGCCAACTCACAACCGACCGCGAACACCGGAACGCGCTTTATTTATGCATCGATGGTAAGCACCGCTCCTATTTAACAACAACAATAACAAACGACTTGCTTCTTCTCTCATCCCGGCACAGCAAGCTGACTAACAAAACATATTTGGGAAACAAAAACAGGTGGGGGAACGAAGACGAATGTGTCGATATCTGGAAGGAGTGGAGAGGACGGGGAGTTGAGGATCCTCAGCCAAGGCCAAGAACGCTCGTCGAACTACACGGGCGTAGGACTAGAGCAAGCGATCCTCTCGATCGGGGAAGCGACGATGAGCGCGCTGCGTTCGCTACCGGACGGGACGGGATCGAGCGAGGCCCGAGGCTGGACATACGAGGGTTTCCAGAGCGTCGGCTGCGCCTTCCGGCCGGCGCCGTTCACGCGGATCTGGGCCGGCTTGAGCGGGGTGGATGGGCCGGAAGACCATCGGCTGCTCCACGCCGGGTTGACCAACCTCTTCGGCCTCTCCGGCGAGCCGACCAAGCTCAAGCTGACCAACGACTGTGACCTGCTGTGTAGCGCGATCGAACGCGTCTACAAGGCCAACCATCGCTCCCCCGATTTGCCCTGTTTGGGCGGGATCGTCTTGATCGCTGGGACCGGAAGCATCGCGACTGCCTTTGGCCCATCGACGCCTCCCCCTCAACACCCATCCGGTCCCTCAGAGAGTCTGCTAGAACCGCTGGGTCGGATGGGCGGATACGGCTATCTTCTTGGCGACGAAGGGTCTTCGTACTATGTGGGCCTAGAGACGATCAAGGAGCTTTTGAGCTTCTTCGATCGCCACCAAGAGCCCAGGACGATTTGGTCGCAAGACAGCTTGGAGGCGAGCGGGCAAGATCGAAAGCTGACGAGGAGAGGGAAGCCGATGGAAGTCGAGGACCAGAGGATCGAAAGCTCGAGCCTGATGGGTCCAGTGCTGGCGCATTTCGAGATCGAGCGGCTCGAGGAGCTGTTAGCCGCGGTGTATTCGATCGCCAATGAACACGAGCGGAAGGTGCGGATCGCCGAGCTGTCGCGACTGGTGATGAGGGCGGCGTTCGAGGGCCCGGCGCCGGACGGCTTTGCGCGCCGGATCCTCGAGCGTGCCGGGCTTCGGCTCAGCGAGCTGGTCTGTCGGCTCTGCACTCTCTACGAACTCCTCCCTAATCAATCCGTCCTTTGTCTCGGTGGCGGGATGTGGTCGTACACCCAGTTCAGAGACTTGGTCATCCATACTATGCGCATCAACTGGAACGCTCATTGGGGCTGGGTCGAAACTATCCATCAGCCTGATCAAGTGGCTGCCTTGTCTTTTGTTTAAAAACGATCCTCTTCATCTAGGCTTTCATTTCCTCTTGGTTGTATCCTTCTTGTCACTACAATGATCCTTCTGTTTGCCATCCACCATCATTCTCATGATAGTAAGTGTGCCACCAATGATACATAGACTTGATCAGTCTCCATCATTATATCTCTCCTCGACAGGTAGATTTACATAATCCGACATTCAGAGAATCTGATTTTGATACAAAAGGAGACGTTCGTATTGATTAACTAGAAGCGCAAATCCCGGGACAACAAGTGAGGTATATAAAGAGGATTGAAGGGTGCAGGGTACATGAAGAATAGAAAAGAAAAACAAGAATGGTTATTGGTAGAACTCTAATACTTCGCCGACGTTTGGACTATCTGATTGAGATGAAGGGCTAGATGGAGATTGAGAGGTCGGGTTCGATTGGAACGAAGTAATGACCCTGCCTCGTTTGACGGCTTCCCCCTTAGCTCGCATCAGGTCGATGATTGTCCGATGATCGTCCTTAAAATTCGGGTCGTCTGAGGTGCGATTGGAAGTGAACCATTGGAGATGATCGGCTGAGTGAGCGAGCGGGGGCAGAGAAATTGAGTCAGATGGGATCAAACTGGGAAGGGAGATATCTGTTTAGGAAAGAGAGAGAGAGAGAGGGGGGTATATGGCTGACCGATCAGATGCCTGTTCAGACAAGATGGACATTGGACCAGGACGATCCCATGATGGAACGCTTGAGAAGAAAACTCATGGGTGTTCAGATGGTCGCAAGTTGTTGTTGCTTCTTGCTGATCAGATGGAGGTGGGTCAAGGCTTGAGGTTGATGATGATGATGAAGGGGCGATACATTTGAATTGGATCCTCATCCTGGATGGGCCAGGAGTGCTACTCTGCTGATCATCATGTGTTTCTCCTTCTTGTTGTTGTTCCTTCTCTGGGAGTGTTGGGTTTGAGAGACTGGTGGTGGAGTTGTATCGCCTGGTGTGGTAGGTCGTCGGTTCTGATACTGGGCTCGGTTGTTGAGTTAGTTGACTGATTTTCCGCGAGTGGATTGGTGCTGGCTTTTGAGATAAGTTTCTGAGTTGGCGAGTTGCGAGTCGAGTTAGATTCCTTGTTGAGCTGAGCATGATACTTTCGATTGGGAGGGTGAGATGTGTTGATTGCGGTTGCTGTTTGCTGGTGGCTGAACGCTGCTGTGAAGTCTGTGTGATATGGTGATATGGTGATTTTGCATATATGCAATATCCAAATTCAATATCCACCCCCGAGTCAACATGGAAGCTTGGCTTCAAACACCAGCAGCACAATTCCTCACCAACAACATCACACAACACCATCAACATGGGCTCGAAGAAAGTATCCAAACAGACGAAGAACTTCACCAGAAAACATCTCACCCATACCCTCACCTCCAGGAAGAAACATCAAGCCAAGAAGAAACTCAGCGAGAACCGCCAACATCTAAAAACTATCAAACGGGGTAATAACAACAGCAAGAAGAAGACCAACAAGGGATCCGAGGACGACGACGACGACGATGACGACGATGACTCGGTAACCGAATCCAAACCAAAGTGAGGAAAACTCGCTTTAAAATATGTCTGTCTGGAAGATCAAAAATACTGAGAAGACAAATCATCTAGGATGGATATGTCTGTCGATGCTCTGTTGAATGCACAGGGACTAGATTCTGAACAAGAAGGATCAGACGATGGAGAGAGTGATGGAAAGGACGAGGAAGATGAAGAAGACGACGACGAAGATGATGATTTGGAGTCGATCGGCAGTCTGGAAGGTTCGTTTGATATTAAATCTATCCAAAACTTGATGGTTGATGATGGTTTTTTTTGGCGTAAACAGACGAATCGGGCGGAAAGATGGATCTAGAAATGTTGAAGGAGAAAGATCCAGAATTCTACAAGTTTCTGGAAGAGAACGACAAAGGATTACTCCAATTCAATGAAGATGAATCAGAAGAAGACGAAGGTTCAACTGATAACAATAACCCAGACTCCGATGCAGGATCAGATCAAGAGGAGGATGATGATGATCCAACGAGCTCGAAAGCACCCAAAACAGTCTTATTGACAAAGGAGTTACTCAGAACTTGGCAGAAAGCTATCCTGGAGGTAATTGTTTCCGTTATCTCAGATTTGATCATGTCATCTTATCTCTTGTCATCCTTGATCTCTAGAACCGATCGATGCGTGCCTTGCGCAAGCTGTTACTCGCTTTCAAGTCTGCCGCCTTCAGCTCCAGTAGCAACTCGACCAATCTTTCATTTTCAATCGAATCATCCTCAGGTTAGTGATTTTAGGACTCAGAAAATCATTCTCAAGTTTCTTTCTTTTTAGCTGATCAGTCCTACTCATATTCACAGTTTTCAATGCCCTCATCACCACCACACTTAGGTATTTACCAGTGTTCCTCAACCAGAGTCTTCCCGCGAGAGAGCTTCCGAGTGGGAAGTTGTAAGTTCCTCCTTGGCATCCTTTCCTGATATGAAATGGACCACCAGAGATCTAATATTGGATTAACTCACCGGATAGTAAAATCGCCAACAACTCCAAGATGTATGCGTCGATGCAACGAATGCTTAAGTCATACTTTACCTCTCTGACCGAATTGGTGGCCCAAGTTCCATCGCAAGAGAAGGGAGATTCAGGGAAAGATAGCATGCTACATACTGCCGTCAGTGAGAGTGCGAAGCTTACCCCCTGGATCATTGGAAATCGTAAGATTATGAAGACTTGGATTAAGGTACATATCCGTCCAGTCAAATCGGCTTTTTTTCTTTCTGGACCACTAATGATTACCTTTTTTGCAGACTTTACTAGAGCTATGGTCTTCCTCATCAGACCAAGTTCGTGTGGCCGCCATACTCTCGCTCAGAAGGATTGCAGTCGCCGCAGATAGCACGACGATGGAGTCTATCATGAAGGTAAGAAGTTGACCGCTCAAAACGATCTCAACTTGCTCGAAACTCACTTAATTATGATTGTCTAGGGTGTATACACTGCCCTAATCAGAAGCGCCAAGAGCACCACCGTCTTCACCTTACCGCTAATCAACTTGATGAAGAACTCAGCGTCGGGCCTTTATCTGATCAACACCGAGACCTCATACCCGATTGTCTTCAGCTACATTCGACAATTAGCTATCCATTTACGAAACAGTATGAAGCTAAAAACTAAGGTAAACTTTTGAATTTATCTGTTTCACGATGGGTTCCTTGGTTGTTGATCCGATGTGCCTTTTTTTGGTAATAGGAAGGATTCCAGGCCGTCTACAATTGGCAGTACATCCATAGCTTGGATTTCTGGTCTCTCGTCCTCTCTTCGGCCTGTGAAAAGAATAGTAACGGGTCAAGATCTGAGCCTAGTGCCTTACAGCCCCTTATCTACCCTCTCGTCCAGATCACCATTGGCGTGATCAAGTAGGTTTCTTCATTCAAATCCAATATCGAGAACGATTCCCTTGAACTGATCACACCTTTCTTTATTCCTTGTTATAAACTCACACACATAGGTTGATTCCTACTTCGCGGTATTATCCTCTCCGGTTTCATTGTATCCGACTCTTGTTACGATTGATTCAACGAACGGGGACGTTTATTCCTCTGACGCCGTTCCTTCTGGACATGATTGACTCGCCGCTGTTCAAGCGACAGCCGACGTCGACGAGTCTGAAAGCGCTGGACTGGGAGTACCTCCTTCGATGTCCGAAGTCGCACGAGAACAGTCGAGTGTATGCGGACGGGGTGGTGGAAGAGACGAGCTACTTGTTGCTGGAGTATCATGCTTGCATGAGCAAGTCGATTGGCTTCCCCGAGCTCGTCTTGCCCGCTCTCACCAGCCTCAAAAAATTCTCCAAACAGTTCAACAAACATCAGAAATTGGTCGGCCATATCAAAACTCTTGTCGAGAAGTTGGAAGCTAATAAGAACTTTGTCGAGGACAAACGCGCCCATCTCGGCTTCGGACCCAAGGATCGCGCCCGCTCGCTCGCCTTCTTGGCCGATCTTCCCCCTGAGAAAACTCCCATCGGCGCTCATCTCAGACTTCAGTCTAAAATCAGAGATCAGAAACGCGCGGCACTCGATCGCTCGGCTCATAAAAATATTCAAGTCGATGATGATTGATTCTTTCCTTTTCTTTCCTCTTTGCTTCTTCTTTTGGTTTTTTTTTTTTGTTGGATGTATTCTACCTTTTTTTCTTCTTTTTTTTACATGCAAGAAAATTATTAAAAACAAAGCAAAAATGATAACATGAGTTTCTCTCCTCCGGCATGTTTTTTGGTCAGCCATTCTTTGAAAGGAAATGTTTATGACTGATTTACATGCATACGCACTTTGTCCAAAATGGATATTAGTTGGGTATCCAAGTCTATCCAATTGATTTCATAGGTTGCCTTTTCTGTGCCCACACATGACCCCTCGCTGTATGCTTTCAACAATGCTGGGACACAGGATGAACAACCTGAAGTTCACAGACTGAAACTCTAGTGACACTTTGGAGTGAGAAAAATAATGCTCTGATTCACTCGAGAAGGAAAGCCCAGAGCCAATCTTGTGTAGACTATAAGTATAAACAAGATTGCTTTGTGTTATGGTCAAAGCATACTGAATATGGATACAAGCATACTAACTCAATACGCTATGCTACACTTTTTGCCCAAAAAGTGTTAGTGTAGCAGCAATTTTTTTTGGGGCCCAAATCATGCATTATTAGCACATTTTTAGCCGATTTTTGCTACACTATGACTATGGGCTGCTAACAGCGCTACAGGGCCAAATTTTTGCTAACCAGCGCAGCGAGCCCATTTTTGGGGCCTACAGGTGTAGTGTTAGTGCAGACGTGGTGGAATTCTGCTATGCTACACTAAAGTTTAGTGGAATTCCGCTATGTTATGATGCACTAACTGCCAAGGTTAGTGTAGTGGCCCACTGTTGCTTTCAAGGGCCCCACACTGCTCCTCACTACCATCCCTCCAACTCTTATTCACCACCAATGCAAGTCTGACTTGAGCCAACATGTCCATGATCCAATGATGAATAGCTGAAGGCTGGACCAGATTATTGTGGAAGGATTAAGGCCCCGGTTGGCCGTCCGTAATTTGTAATTTTGAGTCAAGGTTTGGCAGGAGTTTGTGCAAAAACTTTATATCGTTTTATATTGCACGGTCCGAATCCGCACCAAACCTTAGCCAAATCACAAATCGTGAGTTGCGGCCAAACGGGGCCTAAGTTATAGATGATAAATCAGATGATGAAAGAAACAATCAGATTACAGATCACAATCCATTACATCAGAGATTGTTATAGGGAAAGAAAGACTGAGAGAAACAACAAGAAAAGGTATTAAGACACTCAGCACTTGGAATGACCAAGTCTGTAGCACCTTAAATATGGAGTATGATATGTTTGTTATAGGGGGGGGGGGGGGTCATAATATATCATTTAGATGAAATTTTTTAATGGATTTAGGACTGTGAGAAACCAAGAAAGAATCAAAAGATACTGAAAAGATCAAAAGAAAAGAAGAAAAACAATTATAACTCAGGAAAGTTGCAGAAATAAGTGAGATGTAATTTGTGGAAGAATTCTATGCAATAGGATGTGACAGAAGTGGGTCAAACATCATGGCATTCAAATTTAAATATGCAATTGTTTAGCCATGCATGTTTCACAAATTATCATATCTTTTTTGGTAGGGAATCTATGGATTGTATAATCAGATTGTCAATTAGACTCTCCACAAACAAGATTTTCTTATTTATGAAGTATGGATGCATAAATGTTTGAATGTTTAACTGTAAACACCTAAAATGAAGAAGGGATTGTAATTCATATGAGCTCTGCAACAATCTTATACCCATTTAAATGAAGAAAAAAGCACCAATTGAAATGGAAACAAAATGTTGTTGGTCTCTGAAAGATATGAAAAAAACATCTGTTCAAATATTATTTTGCTTGAGATGAAATAATTTTCTGAACTGTTTGATTGTAGTGCAATAATATTCTTCAACATGTAAAAGTCTGTAGAGAATATTTTGCTTGATGTTGATAGGTTGACCACCCAAGACCTGATTTTGATGGAGATATGTTTTGATCTGTTGTTCTAATTTTCTATCAGAAACATCAATACTGGATCCATCATGGAGGAGTCCAGACAATCTTTCAGTGAGAATACGATCTAGCTTGTATTGATCAACATCTGGAAAATTTGGATAATTATGAGAATGATTGTCTTCAGTGATTTCAAAATTTGAAATTTTTCGATTTTCATTGGAATCTATTAGTGAATTCACTTGACGCTTCAACTCATTTCTGAGCCGCCCATCAGAAGCTGGACTCAGATGATTCAAAATCACTTGATACCTGACATGTTGTGAGTGGGACATACTGTAATATAAACCAATGTCTTCTTCAAATAGACGTATTTTCCTGAATCTTTCTGATCCATTCAATATATCTCTGATGAAGCTAGCAGGTAGATCCTTGGAATGATATCGAATGAAGAATCTTAAAAAATCATATAACAATTTTGAATTCAGTATAATGTGGACCTCTTGTTCTTCATGAACTGACTTGCTGTCTGAGGCTATGTAAGGTAGCAGTACTCTGTCCAGGAAAGACCTAATATCAGGTAATTCACCCTTTTTGGGTGAAATTATTTGAAGAACATCTTTCATTGTTTTCTTCATTTCTTCTGAATAATCTTCAGGTAAAATCACTGGTATCTCTAAAACCGAATCAATCTGAACCTTCAACACATTTAACTCAATATTTTCCCATGCTTCCTGTTGCAAAACTGTATCAGATTGAATGTGATCAGTAATGGAGGATGTGGTAATGTTTTCAATATCTATAAACAGAAACTAAAACCTACTTTTGAATAGTCCAGACATTCTTTGCACCAATGGTGACTCTTTGAGGCTTAGGATGAGGTCAAAGTTGTAAAGACGGAACTTGGAACCTTTTGGATCAAAGCGGTGGATAATATAGTCTGAGATCAACTTTCCCTTGGTTTTCTTGTTGAGGAAATGAATTAAACTTTGTTCAGAAACAATGTTGAATTCTTGTGAATCAATGAAGAAATCCATTGTGAGCTCTCGCCAACGCATGATTGCAGATTCAATTTTTTTATTACGTTCTTGATCATCTCCTTTTGAGATGCTTGTTATTCTCTCAATCTTCAAAAAATCAGCAATGTATGAAAGCCAATCTTGATCTGCTGTCTCAAACATTCTTTCTGAAACATGTGTATTCAATCCCTGTATAGAATGATAGGCTTGACTTTCCAGTTGATGAAGCTTCTTCTCAAACAGATTTTCTACGGAATTGATGACCTCTTTCAAGTGCACCTCAACCTCTTGATTTGTTTCTTCATCCAATTTCAGCTTTGTGTAATCAGATCTCCAAGCTGTGAAATCCTTGATGGTCTTGGAGTAACATGCATAAACTGCTTTCCAGGGCTCTAAATTCAGTTAAATTAATGCCAATTCTTGTTAAGCACAAAATATTCAATATATCTGAGATGTGGAAGAGACTCACCACTCCTAATTTTACCCTTGTTGGAAATTTCACCATCTTTCAGAGAACTGTTGGTTGCTTTAGTGGCAGATAGTTCCTTGAAACCTCTAGTGAGAATTTTATTGGAATAACATCCACAGGAAATTTTCCCTTCCTTGGGAGAGTGATCACCTGCTCATTTTTCAATTGGAGTTTAATCAGTCCAATGCTTGAAGGAAGAACTCTGAGAAAAACTGACACTCTTGAATAATTTGATGAAGGCCTATGTTTGATAAAAAGAAGTAGAGTGATGGGATTGTGTCAGTAGAAAATATCATCTATGCTTGTGTGGCCCTGATCAATAAGAAAAAAAAATCGATAAGTACCTGTATTGCCTTTGACTGTGGATTTCCTCATGAAGCTTCCATCAACACTTTGAATGTTTGCTGTTAGTTGAAAGGTTAATAATTGTATAGCCATGTTTATCCACATGATATTCATATTTGAAAATTTTTAAAAGAGAAATTATATTAAATATTAGAAGATGAGGTGAGCTAGACTTTGGAGTGGACAGTTTTGAAACTGAAATTAAATTTTTCTGAGGGCCAGACTTCAAAAAAGGTGTGATATTTATAGTTTTTATTCCCTCTTGTATTCTTATTTTCCAGTGGCCCAGATTGTCTGTACAGTTACATTGTCAGTCCATACATTTATTTTGTATGACAATGAAACATGGCTTCCTTGCCAAGAATCTTACAAAGTGCCTGTATGACAATGAAACATGGCTTCCTTGCCAAGAATCTTAGAAAGACTGGTCACATGTGATCACCTTAGAAAGTACCACCATGAATAAACTGAATAAACTGATTATACAGACTAACTGATGCAATTACATAAATTTGATTTACATGAAGCCCATGTCTCAGTGTTTCTGTACTTGTGCCTCTATCCTACATAAAAAATTGAATGTATTTATACTGTCTGAACAGGAAATGGCCATACCTAGTCTAACACATTTGGTCTATTCAACACGCTTGGAAAGTATATATGAAATGTGAGTTTCAAAAAAATAAACAACAAATATCAAGCTGAAGCAAATCATCTTTTCTCAAAATGTGTTGGAAATTCAATCCAAACATGTTTATAAATTTACATAGATGGAAGTTTTTTCTTGTGGAAAATTTTTGTGTTTCATTCTAATTCAAGTAAATTCAAGCTGTGGCTGGTTGGGTTGGGTTGGGTCATAAAGTCAATATTGCTGCCCAGGGCCAAACCCAACCCACCTGGGGGAGCAGGCGGGTCAGGGTTGGGTCGTGGGTCACTTTCTGGGTCAGGCTTGGAACAAACATTTGGAGCATATTTACATTTCTAAGCAATAGAAACAGAAAAAGACAACTTTTTGTAACTTAACATGTATTTTATTTTAATTGATCAAATAACGAATTGTGTATTTTGTCAGTCTTACTTTTTTTTATACTTTCTTTGGCCTTGGAACCACTTGATGGTATCATTTGATCATCAGGAGGGTTGTTTTCTTCATTGGACAAAAGTAGAATCATCGATCACTTCTTGGAGTGGGTCAGCGGGGGCTTGATCCGACTGCAAGCCATTCTTGCATCAGCAGGGGTGGTCTTGAGCAATTGGCGATGGACAGTCTCTTGCGGGTTTGAGCTTTGATTGGTCATACAATTCTGCACAAAGCGTCTGTCAAGTTCCAAGCTCAAGAATTGAGATTCCAAGTTCAATCGATTCAAAGCGTTGTCAGTCGTTCCAAGTCCAAGAGTGATAGAATCCATGATCACAAATCCTGAAGCGCTTGTTGTCTAGGTGTAGGTCAGGTTGATGACCAATTGAACGGAGGGCTGAGGGATCCTGATTCCTGAAGGCTGCGTGGGACCGTTCAGATTCTGAAGGCTGAAGCCAACCCACGGACTCTGCCCTCAAGCGGGTCAGTAGTAGGGTTTTTGGCCAACCTGGTATTCAAGCGGGTCACACGCGGGTCAGGTCACTTAGTTTTTTTTTACATAAAGTCAACCCAAACCCGCCCCAAGACCCAACAGGTCGCAGGTCACTTGCGGGTTGACCCGACCCACTTTCATCCTGACTCAGGACTGGCTCTCAATGTTTCCAAAATTTTGGTAATTTTTACCCCAAAGGTTGGTGGCTGTTTTTCCAACTGCCTCTTTATTAGGGGGTTTCACAGTTGAGTGCAAGTGACTTGCAAAACATTTTGCAAGTCACTCTTATGCATGGAGATCTTCACAAATGGCTTTCTACTAGCCACATCTAACCTTTTAATGAGTAATGGGAGCTGAACATGCATGCTTTGTTGTGCAGATTGACTGGCAAACCCTTTTGAAAGGCATTTCCACTCAACTCTGAATACCACTAATGTAGTGAATGATTGCAAAATATTCCACATGAATTTATGAGGTTGGAAAAACAACTTCCATTTTCTAGCCCCCAATTCCCAAAAAACACCAACAGACATCCATTGGGGGGTTTCCTTCAAATTAGATGGACAGACTTGGAAGTTATACCTCCAATTATGGTATTCAAAGTTGAAATGCATGAAATCATAGAGTGCATAAATTATATAATCATAAAACATTTTGGCTGGGAAAGCCAAAGCTTACATAATCAGATTACCAAGATCCCCTGCAAACAAGGTTTTAAGATCTTATGATTTATGCGGTTATGATTTCATGCATTTCAACTTTGAATACCATAAATAGGTTCAAAGTTGGTGCATAAATGTATAAACATACACTGCAAGGAAAAGTTGTGCAATTGTTTTCAGTTGACATGCAATTTTAGAAAGGCACCTTAGCTTTGCAATAGCCCATGCCAAATGCAAACATTTGCACAACTTTTGCTTTCAGTGATAAATTGATAACTACAATTTTTTGCAGAGCTTCTTACACAATACACACCTCAATTCATTTATGAACAAGACATTATTCAGGAATTTATGTTTTTGCATTTTCTGGTAAACTTTTCACTGCTTCACCACATGACACAAGAAGACTTTTAACCAAAAAAGAATTGAGGGCTCATGGAGAGACAGAGAACCTGATAGTGATCCACTTGACTTCAAATTTTGTCAAAGTAGGAGCTTGAGGAAATTAAATGAGGGTATCAATTGCTATAGTCTAGACTCTAGAGTATGTGAAAGACAAAGGATGACTCCAATTAAAGGAAGACAAAGGTTCCACTGATAACAATAAACCAGGCTCCAATGCAGGATCAGAACATTCAACAAGAGGAGGATGATGATGATCCAACAAGCTCTAAAGCACCTACAACAGTCTTATTGACCGAGGAGTTACTCAGAACTTGGCAGAAAGCTATCCTAGAGGTAATCACAACTTGTTTCCGTTCTCACAGATTTGATCATTTCATCTTATCTCTAGAACCAATCAATGCATGCCTTGCGCAAGCTCTTACTTGCTTTCAAGTCTGCTGCGTTCAGCTCCGGTAGCAAATTGACCAATGTTCTATTTTCAATCAAATCATCCTCAGGTTAGTGATTTTAGGATTCAGAAAATCATTCTAAAGTTTCTTTTTTTAGCTGATAAGTCCTACTCAAATTTGTAGTTTTCAATGCCCTGATCACTACCACACTAAGGTATCTACCAGTGTTCCTCAACCAGAGTTTTCCCACAAGAGAGCTTCCAAGTGGAAAATTTTCAGTTCCTCCTTGGCATCCTTTCTTGATATGAAATGAACCACCAGAGATCTAATATTGGATTAACTCACCGGATAGTAAAATCGCCAACAACTCCAAAATGTATGCGTCGATGCAACGAATGCTTAAGTCATACTTTACCTCTCTGACTGAATTGGCAGCCCAAGTTCCATTGCAAGAGAAGGGAGATTCAGGGAAAGATAGCATGCTACATACTGCCGTCAGTGAGAGTGCTAAGCTTACCCCATTGGATCATTGGAAATAGTAAGATTATGAAGACTTGGATTAAGGTACATATCGTTCCAGTCAGATCTGCCTTTTTTCTTTCTGGATCACTCATTATTACCTTTTTTGCAGACTTCACTAGAGCTATGGTCCTCCTCTTCAGACCAAGTTTTTGTGGCCGCCATACTCTCGCTCAGAAGGATTGCAGTAGCCGCAGATAGCACGACGATGGAGTCTATCATGAAGGTAAGAAGTTGACCGCTCAAAACGATCTCAACTTGCTCGAAACTCACTTGATTATGATTGTCTAGGGTGTATACACTGCCCTAATCAGAAGCGCCAAGAGTACCACCGTCTTCACCTTACCGCTAATCAACTTGATGAAGAACTCGGCGTCGGGCCTTTATCTGATCAACACCGAGATCTCATACCCGATCGTCTTCAGCTACATTTGACAATTAGTTATTCATTTACGAAACAGTATGAAGCTAAAAACTAAGGTAAACTTTCGAAGTTATCTGTTTCACGACAGGTTCCCTAGTTTTTGATCCGATGTGCCTTTTTTTGGTAATAGGAAGGATTCCAGGCCGTCTACAATTGGCAGTACATCCACAGCTTGGATTTTTGGTCTCTTGTCCTCTCTTTGGCTTGTGAAAAGAATAGCAACGGGTCAAGATCTGAGCCTAGTGCCTTGCAGCCCCTTATCTACCCTCTCGTCCAGATCACCATTGGCGTGATCAAGTAGGTTTCTTCATTCGAATCCAATATCGAGAACGATTCCCTTGAACTGATCACACCTTTCTTTATTCCTTGTTATAAACTCACACACATAGGTTGATTCCAACTTCGCAGTATTATCCTCTCCGGTTTCATTGTATCCGACTCTTGTTACGATTGATCCAACAAACGGGAACGTTTATTCCTCTGACACCGTTCCTTCTGGACATGATTGACTCGCCGCTGTTCAAGCGACAGCCGACGTCGACGAGTCTGAAAGCGCTGGACTGGGGGTACCTCCTTCGATGTCCCAAGTCGCACGAGAACAGTCGAGTGTATGCGGACGGGGTGGCAGAAGAAACGAGCTACTTGTTGCTGGAGGATCATGCTTGCATGAGCAAGTCGATTGGCTTCCCCGAGCTCGTCTTACCCGCTCTCACCAGCCTCAAAAAATTCTCCAAACAATTCAACAAACATCAGAAATTGGTCGGCCATATCAAAACTCTTGTCGAGAAGTTGGAAGCTAATAAGAACTTTGTCGAGGACAAACGCGCCCATCTCGGCTTCGGACCCAAGGATCGCGCCCGCTCGCTCGCCTTCTTGGCCGATCTTCCCCCTGAGAAAACTCCCATCGGCGCTCATCTCAGACTTCAGTCTAAAATCAGAGATCAGAAACGCGCTGCACTCGATCGCTCAGCTCATAAAAATATTCAAGTCGATGATGATTGATTCATTCTTTCCTCTTTGCTTCTTCTTTTGGTTTTTTTTTTTTGTTAGGTGTATTCAACCTTTTTTTTAGAAAAATAAAGACATGCAAGAAAATTATTATAATTCAAAATAAAAAAACATGAGTTTCTCTCCTCCGGCATGTTTTTTGGTCAGCCATTCTTTGAAAAGAAATGTTTATGACTGATTTACATGCATGCACACTTTGTCCAAAATGGATATTAGTTGGGTATCCAAGTCTATCCAATTCATTTCATAGGCTGCCTTTTCTGTGCCCACATATGGCCCCTTGCTGTATGCTTTTAGCAATGCTGGGCCACAGCTACGCTATGTTGCAGGGGACACAGGATGAACAACCTGCAGTTCACAGACTGAAAGTCTAGTGACACTTTGGAGTGAGACAAATAATGTTCTGATTCATTAAAGAAGGAAAGCTCAGAAGCAATCTTGTGTAGACTATAAACAAGATTGCTTTGTGTTATGGTCAAAGCATACTAACTCAACACGCTATGCTACACTTTTTGCCCAAAAAGTGTTAGCGTAGCAGCAATTTTTTGGGGCCCTAATCACGTAGTGTTAGCACATTTTTAGCCGATTTTTGCTACGCTACAGGCTGCTAACAGCGCTACAGGGCCAAAGTTTTGCTAACCAGCGCAGCAAGCCCATTTTTGGGGCCTACAGGTGTAGTGTTAGTGCAGACGTGGTGGAATTCTGCTATGCTACACTAAGGTTTAGCGGAATTCTGCCATGTTATGCTGCACTAACTGCTAAGGTTAGCATAGTGGCCGACTGTTGCTTTCAAGCGCCCCATCCTGCTCCTCACTACCAACCCTCCAAATCTTATTCACCACCAATGCATGACTGATTTGAGCCAACATGTCCATGATCCAATGATGAATAGCTGAAGGCTGGACCAGATGATTGTGGAAGGATTATGTTAGATGATAAATCAGACGATGAAAGAAACAACCAGATGACAGATCACAATCCATTACATCAGGGATTGTTATAGGGAAAGAAAGACTGAGAGAAACAACAAAAAAAATCAAGACCCTGAGCACTTGGAATGACCAAGTCTGTAGCACCTCAAATATGAAGTGTGAGATGTTTGTTATAGAGAGGTCAAAATTCATCATTTAGATGAAATGTTTTAATGAATTTAAGACCGAGAGAAACCAAGGAAAACTGTCAAGATGCTGAAAAGATTAAAAGAAAAGAAGAAGAACAATTACTGAGGAAAGCTACAAAAATCAGTGAGATGTTTGTGAACGGATTCTATGGAATAGGCAGTCACAGGAGTGAGTCAAACATTATGGCATTCAAAGTTGAATATGCAATCCTTTATCCATGCATGTTCCATAAATAATCAAATCTTGTTTGGTAAGGGATCTTTGGATTACATAATTAGGCTGTTATGACTCTCTGCAAACAAGATTTACTTATTTATGAAGTATGCATGCCTAAATGTTTGCATATTCACCTTAAAACACCATAAATAAAGAGATTGTAATTCCTATAAGCTCAACAATCTTATTCTCAGTTAAATGAATAAAAAAACCCTAAATGAAATGGAAAAATGTTGTTAGTCTCTGAAAAATATGGGAAAATTCAAAACATCTGTTCAGATCATATTATTTTGCTTGAGACGAAATAATTGTCTGAACTTTTGGATTATAGTACAATAATATTCTTCAACACTTGCAAGTGTGTAGTAGAGATGGTCTCTTCGCATCCGGATATCCGGATAGCAGCGGATATCCCGGATGCAAAGCGACCATCTCTAGTGTGTAGAGAATATTTTGCTTGATATTCATAGGTTGACCACCCAAGACCTGATTTTGATGGACATATCTTTTGTTCTGTTGTTCTAATTTTCTATCAGAAACATCAATACTGGATCCATCTTGGAGGAGTTCAGACAATCTTTCAGTGAGAATATGATCTATCTTGTATTGATCAACATCTGGCAAATTTGGATAATTATGAGTATTGCTGTCTTCAGTGATTTCAAAATTTGAAATTTTTCTATTTTCATTGGAATCTATCAGTGAGTTGACATGACGCTTTTTCTCACGTCTGAGCCACCCATTGGAGGTTGGACTCATATGGTTCAAAATTTCTTGATACCTGACATGTTGTGAGTGGGTCATACTGTAATAGAAACCAATGTCTTCCTCAAGTAGACGGATTTTCCTGAATCTTTCTGATGCATTCATATCTCTGATGAAGCTAGCAGGTAGATCCTTGGAATGATATCAAATGAAGAATCTCAAAACATCATATAACAATTTTGAATTCAGTATAATGTAGGCATGCAGAATTGGATGAACTGACTGGCTGTCTGAGGCTATGTAAGGTAGCAGTACTTTGTCCAGGTAAGACCTAATATCAGGTAAGTCCCCCTTTTTGGGTGAAATCACTTCAAGGAAATCTTTCATTGTTTTCTTCATTTCTTCTGAATAATCTTCAGGAAAAATCAGTACTTGTGTCTCTAAAACTGAATCAATCTGAACCTTCAATACATTTAACTCAATATTTTCCCATGCTTCCTGTTGCAAACCTGTATCAGATCATGAATGTGATCAGTAATGAAGGATGTGGTAATGTCTCCATTATCTATAAAAATGAATTAAGACCTACTTTTGAATAGTCCAGACATTCTTTGCACCAATGGTGACTCTTTGAGGCTCAGTATGAGGTCAAAGTTGTAAAGATGGAACTTGTAACCTTTTGGATCAAAGCGGTGGATAATATAGTCTGAGATCAACTTTCCCTTGGTTTTCTTGTTGAGGAAATGAATTAAACTTTGTTCAGAAACAATGTTGAGTTCTTGTGAATCAATGAAGAAATCCATTGTGAGCTCTCTCCAACGCATGATTGCAGATTCTATTTCTTCATTATGTTCTTGATAATCTCCTTTTGAGATGCCTGTTATTCTCTCAATCTTCAAAAAATCAGCAATGCATGAAAGCCAATCTTGATCTGCTGTCTCAAACATTCTTTCTGAAACATGCATATTTAATCCCTGTATAGAATGATAGGCTTGACTTTCCAGTTGATGAAGCTTCTTCTCAAATAGATTTTCTATGGACTTGATGACCTCTTTCAAGTGCACCTCAACCTCTTGATTTTTTTCTTCATCCAATTTCAGCTTTGTGTAATCAGATCTCCAAGCTGTGAAATCTTTGATGGTCTTGGAGTAACATGCATAAACTGCTTTCCAGGGCTCTAAATTCAGTTAAATTAATGCCAATTCTTGTTAAGCACAAAATATTCAATATATCTGAGACATGGAAGATACTCACCACTCCTGATTTTAACCGTGTTGGAAATTTCACCATCCTTCAGGAAACCGTTGATTGCTTTAGTGGCAGATAGTTCCTTGAAACCTCTAGTGAGGACTTTATTGGAATTACATCCACAGGAAATTTTCCCTTCCTTGGGAGAGTGATCACCTGCTCATTTTTCAATTGGAGTTTAATCAGTCCAATGCTTGAAGGAAGAACTCTGAGAAAAACTGACACTCTTGAATAATTTGATGAAGGCCTATGTTTGATAAAAAGAAGTAGAGTGATGGGATTGTGTCAGTAGAAAATATCATCTATGCTTGTGTGGCCCTGATCAATAAGAAAAAAAACAAATTGATAAGTACCTGTATTGCCTTTGACTGTTGATTTCCTCATGAAGCTGCCATCAACACTTTGAATGTTTGCTGTTAGTTGAAAGGTTAATAATTGTATAGCCATGTTTATCCACATGATATTCATATTTGGAAATTTTGAAAAGAGAAATTATATTAAATATTAGAAGATGAGGTGAGCTAGACTTTGGAGTGGACAGTTTTGAAACTGAAATTAAATTTTTCCCAGGGCCAGAATTCAAAAAAGGTGTGATATTTATAGTTTTTATTCCCTCTTGTATTCTTATTTTCCAGTGGCCCAGATTGTCTGTACAGTTACATTGTCAGTCCATACATTTATTTTGTATGACAATGAAACATGGCTTCCTTGCCAAGAATATTACAAAGTGCCTGTATGACAATGAAACATGGCTTCCTTGCCAAGAATCTTAGAAAGACTGGTCACATGTGATCACCTTAGAAAGTACCACCATGAATAAACTGAATAAACTGATTATACAGACTAACTGATGCAATTACATAAATTTGATTTACATGAAGCCCATGTCTCAGTGTTTCTGTACTTGTGCCTCTATCCTACATAAAAAATTGAATGTATTTATACTGTCTGAACAGGAAATGGCCATACCTAGTCTAACACATTTGGTCTATTCAACACGCTTGGAAAATATATATGAAATGTGAGTTTCAAAAAAATAAACAACAAATATCAAGCTGAAGCAAATCATCTTTTCTCAAAATGTGTTGGAAATTCAATCCAAACATGTTTATAAATTTACATAGATGGAAGTTTTTTCTTGTGGAAAATTTTTGTGTTTCATTCTAATTCAAGTAAATTCAAGCTGTGGCTGGTTGGGTTGGGTTGGGTCATAAAGTCAATATTGCTGCCCAGGGCCAAACCCAACCCACCTGGGGGAGCAGGCGGGTCAGGGTTGGGTCGTGGGTCACTTTCTGGGTCAGGCTTGGAACAAACATTTGGAGCATATTTACATTTCTAAGCAATAGAAACAGAAAAAGACAACTTTTTGTAACTTAACATGTATTTTATTTTAATTGATCAAATAACGAATTGTGTATTTTGTCAGTCTTACTTTTTTTTATACTTTCTTTGGCCTTGGAACCACTTGATGGTATCATTTGATCATCAGGAGGGTTGTTTTCTTCATTGGACAAAAGTAGAATCATCGATCACTTCTTGGAGTGGGTCAGCGGGGGCTTGATCCGACTGCAAGCCATTCTTGCATCAGCAGGGGTGGTCTTGAGCAATTGGCGATGGACAGTCTCTTGCGGGTTTGAGCTTTGATTGGTCATACAATTCTGCACAAAGCGTCTGTCAAGTTCCAAGCTCAAGAATTGAGATTCCAAGTTCAATCGATTCAAAGCGTTGTCAGTCGTTCCAAGTCCAAGAGTGATAGAATCCATGATCACAAATCCTGAAGCGCTTGTTGTCTAGGTGTAGGTCAGGTTGATGACCAATTGAACGGAGGGCTGAGGGATCCTGATTCCTGAAGGCTGCGTGGGACCGTTCAGATTCTGAAGGCTGAAGCCAACCCACGGACTCTGCCCTCAAGCGGGTCAGTAGTAGGGTTTTTGGCCAACCTGGTATTCAAGCGGGTCACACGCGGGTCAGGTCACTTAGTTTTTTTTTACATAAAGTCAACCCAAACCCGCCCCAAGACCCAACAGGTCGCAGGTCACTTGCGGGTTGACCCGACCCACTTTCATCCTGACTCAGGACTGGCTCTCAATGTTTCCAAAATTTTGGTAATTTTTACCCCAAAGGTTGGTGGCTGTTTTTCCAACTGCCTCTTTATTAGGGGGTTTCACAGTTGAGTGCAAGTGACTTGCAAAACATTTTGCAAGTCACTCTTATGCATGGAGATCTTCACAAATGGCTTTCTACTAGCCACATCTAACCTTTTAATGAGTAATGGGAGCTGAACATGCATGCTTTGTTGTGCAGATTGACTGGCAAACCCTTTTGAAAGGCATTTCCACTCAACTCTGAATACCACTAATGTAGTGAATGATTGCAAAATATTCCACATGAATTTATGAGGTTGGAAAAACAACTTCCATTTTCTAGCCCCCAATTCCCAAAAAACACCAACAGACATCCATTGGGGGGTTTCCTTCAAATTAGATGGACAGACTTGGAAGTTATACCTCCAATTATGGTATTCAAAGTTGAAATGCATGAAATCATAGAGTGCATAAATTATATAATCATAAAACATTTTGGCTGGGAAAGCCAAAGCTTACATAATCAGATTACCAAGATCCCCTGCAAACAAGGTTTTAAGATCTTATGATTTATGCGGTTATGATTTCATGCATTTCAACTTTGAATACCATAAATAGGTTCAAAGTTGGTGCATAAATGTATAAACATACACTGCAAGGAAAAGTTGTGCAATTGTTTTCAGTTGACATGCAATTTTAGAAAGGCACCTTAGCTTTGCAATAGCCCATGCCAAATGCAAACATTTGCACAACTTTTGCTTTCAGTGATAAATTGATAACTACAATTTTTTGCAGAGCTTCTTACACAATACACACCTCAATTCATTTATGAACAAGACATTATTCAGGAATTTATGTTTTTGCATTTTCTGGTAAACTTTTCACTGCTTCACCACATGACACAAGAAGACTTTTAACCAAAAAAGAATTGAGGGCTCATGGAGAGACAGAGAACCTGATAGTGATCCACTTGACTTCAAATTTTGTCAAAGTAGGAGCTTGAGGAAATTAAATGAGGGTATCAATTGCTATAGTCTAGACTCTAGAGTATGTGAAAGACAAAGGATGACTCCAATTAAAGGAAGACAAAGGTTCCACTGATAACAATAAACCAGGCTCCAATGCAGGATCAGAACATTCAACAAGAGGAGGATGATGATGATCCAACAAGCTCTAAAGCACCTACAACAGTCTTATTGACCGAGGAGTTACTCAGAACTTGGCAGAAAGCTATCCTAGAGGTAATCACAACTTGTTTCCGTTCTCACAGATTTGATCATTTCATCTTATCTCTAGAACCAATCAATGCATGCCTTGCGCAAGCTCTTACTTGCTTTCAAGTCTGCTGCGTTCAGCTCCGGTAGCAAATTGACCAATGTTCTATTTTCAATCAAATCATCCTCAGGTTAGTGATTTTAGGATTCAGAAAATCATTCTAAAGTTTCTTTTTTTAGCTGATAAGTCCTACTCAAATTTGTAGTTTTCAATGCCCTGATCACTACCACACTAAGGTATCTACCAGTGTTCCTCAACCAGAGTTTTCCCACAAGAGAGCTTCCAAGTGGAAAATTTTCAGTTCCTCCTTGGCATCCTTTCTTGATATGAAATGAACCACCAGAGATCTAATATTGGATTAACTCACCGGATAGTAAAATCGCCAACAACTCCAAAATGTATGCGTCGATGCAACGAATGCTTAAGTCATACTTTACCTCTCTGACTGAATTGGCAGCCCAAGTTCCATTGCAAGAGAAGGGAGATTCAGGGAAAGATAGCATGCTACATACTGCCGTCAGTGAGAGTGCTAAGCTTACCCCATTGGATCATTGGAAATAGTAAGATTATGAAGACTTGGATTAAGGTACATATCGTTCCAGTCAGATCTGCCTTTTTTCTTTCTGGATCACTCATTATTACCTTTTTTGCAGACTTCACTAGAGCTATGGTCCTCCTCTTCAGACCAAGTTTTTGTGGCCGCCATACTCTCGCTCAGAAGGATTGCAGTAGCCGCAGATAGCACGACGATGGAGTCTATCATGAAGGTAAGAAGTTGACCGCTCAAAACGATCTCAACTTGCTCGAAACTCACTTGATTATGATTGTCTAGGGTGTATACACTGCCCTAATCAGAAGCGCCAAGAGTACCACCGTCTTCACCTTACCGCTAATCAACTTGATGAAGAACTCGGCGTCGGGCCTTTATCTGATCAACACCGAGATCTCATACCCGATCGTCTTCAGCTACATTTGACAATTAGTTATTCATTTACGAAACAGTATGAAGCTAAAAACTAAGGTAAACTTTCGAAGTTATCTGTTTCACGACAGGTTCCCTAGTTTTTGATCCGATGTGCCTTTTTTTGGTAATAGGAAGGATTCCAGGCCGTCTACAATTGGCAGTACATCCACAGCTTGGATTTTTGGTCTCTTGTCCTCTCTTTGGCTTGTGAAAAGAATAGCAACGGGTCAAGATCTGAGCCTAGTGCCTTGCAGCCCCTTATCTACCCTCTCGTCCAGATCACCATTGGCGTGATCAAGTAGGTTTCTTCATTCGAATCCAATATCGAGAACGATTCCCTTGAACTGATCACACCTTTCTTTATTCCTTGTTATAAACTCACACACATAGGTTGATTCCAACTTCGCAGTATTATCCTCTCCGGTTTCATTGTATCCGACTCTTGTTACGATTGATCCAACAAACGGGAACGTTTATTCCTCTGACACCGTTCCTTCTGGACATGATTGACTCGCCGCTGTTCAAGCGACAGCCGACGTCGACGAGTCTGAAAGCGCTGGACTGGGGGTACCTCCTTCGATGTCCCAAGTCGCACGAGAACAGTCGAGTGTATGCGGACGGGGTGGCAGAAGAAACGAGCTACTTGTTGCTGGAGGATCATGCTTGCATGAGCAAGTCGATTGGCTTCCCCGAGCTCGTCTTACCCGCTCTCACCAGCCTCAAAAAATTCTCCAAACAATTCAACAAACATCAGAAATTGGTCGGCCATATCAAAACTCTTGTCGAGAAGTTGGAAGCTAATAAGAACTTTGTCGAGGACAAACGCGCCCATCTCGGCTTCGGACCCAAGGATCGCGCCCGCTCGCTCGCCTTCTTGGCCGATCTTCCCCCTGAGAAAACTCCCATCGGCGCTCATCTCAGACTTCAGTCTAAAATCAGAGATCAGAAACGCGCTGCACTCGATCGCTCGGCTCATAAAAATATTCAAGTCGATGATGATTGATTCATTCTTTCCTCTTTGCTTCTTCTTTTGGTTTTTTTTTTTTGTTAGGTGTATTCAACCTTTTCTTCTTCTTTTTTTTTACATGCAAGAAAATTATTATAATTCAAAATAAAAAAACATGAGTTTCTCTCCTCCGGCATGTTTTTTGGTCAGCCATTCTTTGAAAAGAAATGTTTATGACTGATTTACATGCATGCACACTTTGTCTAAAAAGGATATTAGTTGGGTATCCAAGTCTATCCAATTCATTTCATAGGTTGCCTTCTCTGTGCTCACACACCACCCCTCGCTGTATGCCTTCAACAATGCTGGGACACAGGATGAACAACCTGAAGTTCACAGACTGAAACTCTAGTGACACTTTGGAGTGAGAAAAATAATGCTCTGATTCACTCGAGAAGGAAAGCCCAGAGCCAATCTTGTGTAGACTATAAGTATAAACAAGATTGCTTTGTGTTATGGTCAAAGCATACTGAATATGGATACAAGCATACTAACTCAATACGCTATGCTACACTTTTTGCCCAAAAAGTGTTAGTGTAGCAGCAATTTTTTTTGGGGCCCAAATCATGCATTATTAGCACATTTTTAGCCGATTTTTGCTACACTATGACTATGGGCTGCTAACAGCGCTACAGGGCCAAATTTTTGCTAACCAGCGCAGCGAGCCCATTTTTGGGGCCTACAGGTGTAGTGTTAGTGCAGACGTGGTGGAATTCTGCTATGCTACACTAAAGTTTAGTGGAATTCCGCTATGTTATGATGCACTAACTGCCAAGGTTAGTGTAGTGGCCCACTGTTGCTTTCAAGGGCCCCACACTGCTCCTCACTACCATCCCTCCAACTCTTATTCACCACCAATGCAAGTCTGACTTGAGCCAACATGTCCATGATCCAATGATGAATAGCTGAAGGCTGGACCAGATTATTGTGGAAGGATTAAGGCCCCGGTTGGCCGTCCGTAATTTGTAATTTTGAGTCAAGGTTTGGCAGGAGTTTGTGCAAAAACTTTATATCGTTTTATATTGCACGGTCCGAATCCGCACCAAACCTTAGCCAAATCACAAATCGTGAGTTGCGGCCAAACGGGGCCTAAGTTATAGATGATAAATCAGATGATGAAAGAAACAATCAGATTACAGATCACAATCCATTACATCAGAGATTGTTATAGGGAAAGAAAGACTGAGAGAAACAACAAGAAAAGGTATTAAGACACTCAGCACTTGGAATGACCAAGTCTGTAGCACCTTAAATATGGAGTATGATATGTTTGTTATAGGGGGGGGGTCATAATATATCATTTAGATGAAATTTTTTAATGGATTTAGGACTGTGAGAAACCAAGAAAGAATCAAAAGATACTGAAAAGATAAAAAGAAAAGAAGAAAAACAATTATAACTCAGGAAAGTTACAGAAATAAGTGAGATGTAATTTGTGGAAGGATTCTATGCAATAGGATGTGACAGAAGTGGGTCAAACATCATGGCATTCAAATTTAAATATGCAATTGTTTAGCCATGCATGTTTCACAAATAATCATATCTTTTTTGGTAGGGAATCTATGGATTGTATAATCAGATTGTCAATTAGACTCTCCGCAAACAAGATTTTCTTATTTGTGAAGTATGGATGCATAAATGTTTGAATGTTTAACTGTAAACACCTAAAATGAAGAAGGGATTGTAAGTCATATGAGCTCTGCAGCAATCTTATACCCATTAAAATGAAGAAAAAAGCACCAATTGAAATGGAAACAAAATGTTGTTGGTCTCTGAAAGATATGAAAAAAAAACATCTGTTCAAATATTATTTTGCTTGAGATGAAATAATTTTCTGAACTGTTTGATTGTAGTGCAATAATATTCTTCAACATGTAAAAGTCTGTAGAGAATATTTTGCTTGATGTTGATAGGTTGACCACCCAAGACCTGATTTTGATGGAGATATCTTTTGATCTGTTGTTCTAATTTTCTATCAGAAACATCAATACTGGATCCATCATGGAGGAGTCCAGACAATCTGTCAGTGAGAATACGATCTAGCTTGTATTGATCAACATCTGGAAAATTTGGATAATTATGAGAATGATTGTCTTCAGTGATTTCAAAATTTGAAATTTTTCGATTTTCATTGGAATCTATCAGTGAATTGACTTGATGCTTCAACTCATGTCTGAGCCGCCCATCAGAAGCTGGACTCAGATGGTTCAAAATCACTTGATACCTGACATATTTTGAGTGGGACATAC